ATCCGCACGCCGCGTCGAAGCTCTACGTCTGCCCCAAGAGCGAGTGCGCACGACATGCGAGGCGACGCCTTGTCATGCTGGCGAATGAGTGGGGAGAGGGGAGATGAATGCAACCAATCCTGTGTGGCCAGTGGGAGAGGTTGCCTACGCGCATCACAGAATATTTAGGTGGAGAAGTAGGCGTACTGCGCTCTCCTTTTTATTCTCCTCATTCTCTATTTCTGTTTAACTCGTTTATATCTTCATCTATAATAATACTATCTCTGTCACTCTGGTTAAAAACAAAAGTTGTTTACGGGAATATCTCCGCTGTGTATTCATATAGATATATTTGATTTCACATTTAGTATGGGTGATAGTGAATTTTTAACCAATTTTAAAACTTATATTCTGTATGATTGTGTTGAATGTTTTGCTAAGTGCGCATGCGTCATCTGGCGTGATTGGCGCCGACGGTGGTCCCGTAGCGTGCCGACAGTCCCACCATTACCGGCGGAATTCCATTGCGCAATCGCCATGCGTTGATTGGACGCCCTCCTTTTGGTCCTTCTACATTTTCTCCTCCTGTTCATTTATTCATCGCTGAAGGAGCGTTTGCAGTTGGACAAGGACTAGGAGTGGAATGAGACAGAGTGATGAGGAACTTGGTACACGAATGAACGTGAATACGTGATCGTGGTGATTATGTGCATTTTTTCACTGCGTTCGTGCTTTGTTTTCGGAGAACACACGCACGCACGCGCGAGGTTAATTGCGGGAACGGCGGAACGAAACGACGTATTGTTGGCGTGCTGAGTTGTGTTGGCAACATTGTGTTGGGTAATTATACAAGGAGATAATTAGTTATTTCCACCATTTTATTGGTTACAATGGTTACGCATTAGTGTTTGGGTATTTTAATTAAATACTTTGGTTGTATTACCCTTAGAAGAAGTGTAATCATTATTAATTTATATTTTTGGTAATATATTCTAGGGGAATATAAAAGTTAGGGATATTTCGTTAATATCGTAAGTGTGAGGCTTTAGGTTGGTACCGGAAGTAGACATTTTAGTGTTTATTTAAATCAGTATAACTTTCAGAGGAAAACTCGTAGAATATTGATGGAGATGTCATTTTATAGATAATTTAATGGAGAATATAAATATATGTCAAGAAAGTACGTAAATTTATTAATTATCTTGTAATTTAATGAAAAATTGATGTTTTTTCTAAATTTTTCAGTGTTTCGATATAAAAATTTGTTATAACTACGAAATTAAACTAGATAAATGAGTGATTCTTCTTTCTATGCGTATATCTTCATAAAATCTATCATTTCCCTCTCAAAAAAACAAGATTTCCTAATAAATGGCGCCTAAATGGCGTTTTTTCTTCTTTGAATGTCTTTTTTTGAAGTGTGGAATGTTGCATATGCGCATAATACACCGTAGTGTCTACCTTTGCATTTGATATGCACCACACTTCCCGATCTACCTCTGGGGGATTGGCCTAATAGCAGTGAGGTGGTCTTTCACGGGGCTGCACCGAGTGCACCTTTCCCCTTTCTCTACCTTTCTCTCTTGCTATCTTGGAGTGTTCCCACTTCTCCTTGTTCGCTGGTTGAAATCAGAGAGGGACATGGGTATCAGAGTGTGCGCCGCGCCCTGTTCGAATCAAGTGCATTCTATGAATCATGCATGATGTCACAGAGTGGTCCCTCGCGAATCAAATCAGTAGCTAGTTATCAGTATCAGAAATAGGAAATATGAAAGATAGAAGATATTAATGACTGTGTGAGTTGTAGATAAGTAATTTTATTGGAAAGTTGTACGTATTTATGACGTAGGTAAATTAATTTATATTTTCACTTTTATCATTTTTTGATAAGCATTAAGCTTGAGGAAAAAATTAATTTCAGAAAACAGTTTGAATTTTAAATAAAAGTGGCAAAAAATCACTATTTGTTTCAAAATATGATTTTTTTCTTAAAATATTAGACAATTCAAGTTTTCATGAGCAAAAACAAACAAAAACTTTAAAAATTATGAAATATTATGTGTCCCACTTGTTTTAAGCAAGAAACGAAGTTTTGGTTGTGTAAATTTGAAAGAAACCACCATTGAACGAATCTATATTGAGGGTGCAACTAATTCGTCCGCGTCGGATTTGCAGTTGTCATCGCACCCCTGCACTTTCATCCCTAACACGGCGCGTAAACCGTTTCACCCTCTTGCCGCGCGAGATAACAACATCAACTCCCCCAACACCAACTCCAACGCCGACGCCGACTCAAATTTCCCCCTTTTTCGGATGCTTGCGTTCGAGGGAGATTCCATATGCCGGTGGCACACTTTCAGTGCTGCTTTTCCAAAATGTGGGTCAGAATCATCGAGAGAGTAAAACTAGGTTACAAACACGCAAAATACATCAATTAGAAATTTGTATTCAACAGTTTATTGCAAAATTTTATGGAATTTTAAACTTTTTATCGAGTTTTATTGTTTTACAAATGAAATGTTGATGATAATATGCTTTATCGAGAAAATTATTTGAGTATGTACAGATTTGGCCCTCTGGTGTGCAAATTGGAAGTAATGTTTTGTATTATTGGTTGAGTTTTATTATTTTACAAATGAAATTTTAATGATAATGAACTTTATCATGAAAATTATTTGTGTTTGGACAGATTTAGCCCTCTGGTGCATAAATTGGAACTAATATTTTGTATGACTGATTGCCTACTAGTCATCCGCTCGAATATGTTCCAATAGGTGGCGCTGTTTCGTGAAAAACCAACATTTTTATGTTTTTAAAAGAAATTTCTATCAAATTTCAACAATTTCGACACAATTTCTTATCAAAATGAAAATCCACATTGAAAAACACAGTAAAATTTCAAAAATCTCTACAAATTTCCACCAAAACTCATTAATTCCCAATCAATTGACATAACTGTCTGCACCATGTCTGCACAAACTCATTAACGCTTCCCCTTATCACTCTGTCTATATATAAATATAAACCTCAATTGTTCTAATTACACGACTGCGATTACGAAATCAAAGTGAAAGCATTGTCGTCTCTCCAATAATTGCTTTATAAATAGCACTGACATTTCCGTATGATCCGCATATAATTGGCTACAGATCTGTATTAATACACACAGAGTGTTAAATTTAAACAGTGTGCAGTATGTGAATGGTCAACATTGTTCGGAAATCGGCGCGCGATAGCGAAAGCACACAACGAAGAGGTTAAAAGTCGCGCGCGCCACTCATGCGCGATAATTTATTGTCACTTTAGTCAATTATCTTAATCAGCGTGCGCCGGTCGAGATTAATAGCCAATTATATTCTCTACGTACGAAGAGGGACCGATAAGTTATTATAACATCATTAATTTAATTAGTGTCGGCATACGCGGCATGTTTTAATCATGTTTTTAATTAATCAATCATTTTGCATATAAAAATCAGTTGTTTAAGTATAAAAATTTGATAGGTAACAAGATAGGGAAGGTAGCATAATTTGGACCAGCGCCTAAGTTGGACCACCACGATATCCGCGGACTGTTGAAGTTTGTGCAAAAATAGGCAGGTCCCTTATTTTACGCGTATTTATAAACAATTAATGCAACTATTTGGGTTAAAACTTGCCGCGTGCTTTCGTCGTGACAACAACTTTGTGCATCATTGATTATCAATTCTATTATAACGACGTAAGTGCAAAAGCTGTCAAGCCGTTAAAACGTTAGTTTTACCGATTATTATTTTATCATCAGAAAGCTTCTTTATTTATCTATAATTTATAGTATTAATTTTGAGAGGTTATGTTATATTAAGATTGTCGTTGATCATTAAATATAAATTCTTCAAGTTGCCCAAGTTGGACCGAAGACAGGCATCGGGTTTTAACAGTGAAAACGTATATCATTTTTTCGACCTCCTAGAAAAGCTTGTGGACGAGCACAAATCTTCGAAATGATCCACTGTATGAAATGCCGCATTTTGGTTTATACAAAATGTGCTTGTGTTACTGCTAAAACTAAAATTAACTATTGTGTCAATTGCCGTTAAAAAAGCATGGTCCAATTTAGGAAACCGCGCGGTCCAATTTAGGAAACCGGTTTCTTAATTTGGACCAAAAACACAATTTTTTTAAATTGAAATTTGAGGGGTATAAATATAATTTTTACTTAAACCAAAAATATCATTTTGTTGATAAGCCTTGTGAGTTACTTTTCCGCTACTTAATTTTTATTGACAGTTTATATGTGGCTCTATAAATCAAAAAATATAAAAATGGTCCAAATATGGCTACTCTCCCCTATTACGTTTATATTGAGCCACAGAAGATATTTTAGTGTTTAAACATCAAAAAAACATTAAAAACATTCAATTTCTTGAAATTTTAACAAAAAACATAAATTTTCATTAAAAATCAATAAAAACGTTTAAAATATTAACATTAGCAATGTATTGCAATGTAAAAACACCTAAAAACAACAAATTTACATCAAAATTTAATGTTTTTTGAAATTATTTGTGGTTAAACGTAATGTTGGTTGCCTACATACACAAAATTAATAAATTTTCAACATAAAATCATATAGCGTCTAAAATGTACCGAATCAAAACTACAATGGACGCAACAGGTAGTCGAAACCTCAATCCACGCACACGATGTGAAAACTACCCCTTCTACAAGGGTAGCAATCGATCAAACTCTTTAATACAAGATAACAAGCAAAAACTCCCATTTAAAAAAACAACAAAATGAAAATAACTCATTCTTAACCAAGGGGTCGTGATAAAATTAATCCACTATAGGGTGAGGTCATGGCAAAGAGGGTGCAATGGTGTCTTGGTAGTAGTAGTCCTCGCGGCGCCACCGCCTCGAGTGGGGATAACATCTCGCACTCCTCTCGCGAGTCTTTCAACTCCGCCTACCCTAATAAAATCTCACCCTCACCCCATTTCACCCCCTAAGTTTCAAAACCTAAGAAATAAAAAAATAAAATTTTCACTTTTACAGATTTTACACATAATTTTAATCGAAACTTCCAACAATCAAGAAGAATAAAATGCAACAAATCCTGCAACGTGCAAGCTCCACAGCCAGGACCTCTCGCACCCTCATCATCCAGCAGGTGCAGAGACTTCTATCCACACAACTCGAGTTTACCAAGGTAACATTAGCTTCTTCTTCTTCTTCTTCTTCACAGTCTTCAATGCATTCTATAATTATTAACTTCATCTACCTACCTAATTTACATAAATATTAATCCTAACATTTCATTCTAACCTATAAATTACTATCGCTTACTATTATTAATTGTGTGTTGTGTGTGTGTGTGTGTGCGACGCGTCATCAGTCCGGTGAAAAAAAAGTTTCAATAATGTAAGTTTAGAATTAGTTAATTGTTAAAAGAGAGAAATTAATGACGAAATTTGCAATCTTGTTCCTACACGAAGAATTTGGAATGTTATGAATTTTTCATATTATGGCCCCTATAAAAAAACCTTCCTTTGCAGAATAATAATAAATTATGATCTGGTAATGGCTTGAGATAATGCTTACTCTTAAAAAATTAATTAACCTATATGTACATCTCTTGACTGATGACGCATCCAATTTTAAACAGAACTAAAAAAAAAAAAATAAATAAAAAAAAATTAAATTTTTAGGTTAAATTTTACGTTTTTTACGTTTAAAACTTACTTTGATATTAGATTCCACATCCCCAACATTTTATAAACGAAGCATAACTTCAAACAATCCTTTAAACACTCGCGTCGTAATTCTATAAGCCCCCGAGAGCGAATGGACAATCCAAGTGCACTGAGTTGAAATGCGCATGCGCGTACACGCAAGCACAGTCGTCGCGTCCAACCCTTGCGGCAATTTTTCCGCGCAATGCAGCAACCGTATTAGCACGACGGCGGACGGGCCGCCAACGCTTCACTGCGACCGCGCCACTACCGCCATCTAACCAGTCGCGCGCTGGAACAATGCCGCACGATCCAAACCCAACGCCGCGTCACGCCACGCATGTACGCATCCACACCGCACGCCACTCATATGATGTGCGAATTTTGAGGTTAAATGCAGAGTATACCAAATTTCCATAGCCTAAACATTGGCGTGCAATGTCACACAGCGCCATCTTCATGCACATATCCACACTCGTTGTGGGACTGGGCGAGCGTATTTAGTCGAATACACTTCTTGACTTGAGAACACAATCGCTATTACTATGATATTTACTATGTAGTTAAGAATGGCAATGTAGGCTTATATGTAGATTTCTTCTTAGGCTAGAGGTTCTCGTACTTTGAGGTTAGGTCTAATGTAATGACTTAACTTGAAAAAACGCTGAAGGTAACGATTGGGGGTATGAAATCTTCATTATTCTGTAAAATAATTAAGTTTTAATTGTTTTTTAAAGGTTTTTGATGAATTTTAAGACTTACAAGTGTTTTTTACTATCAAATTAACTGAAATACTACTACGCATGCGCGTATGACTATCTTGTTGTTTAGGGGGATGCTGAACCCTCTTGTTACCCTTTTTTCTTGGGTCTTCTCTTTGCAATACTCAAATAATCTACTCATATTTGTTGCTTCCTTTCGGTGTGACAATGCAATCATTTTTCATTTATTTTTCTTCTTAAATTATTAATAAGTACCTAGTTTTCTATTTTAACTATCGACCAGCAAGGAGCCCCAGATGCTCTTGATATCTTCTTCGAATGGTACTCTTAATAACTCTCACAACTGTGAAAATTCTTGTTTTGTTTGTAAAATTTGTTTAAATTTATTCTTCTTGATTGTTTGTTGTTAAGATGTTGCAAACAACGATGTTTTATTCCATTTTAACCGACGTTTTGGTTGTTAATTGATGTTTATACTTTTAATCATCACACATCGACCGTTTTCTTAAATCGTAGACATTTTCTCGGTATGTAGGTACGCGAGCGTGAGGAACGCGTACAAAATGGCCGCCGAAGAGTCACGCGACGATGGCCGTCGGCCGCTGAGGGAATTTCGAAATTTCGATGCGCTACGATCTAAACATGACAGACTATACCGAACGAATGAGTGTAGATGCTCTGTTTGTTTATATTTTTAACGTCGTTTGTTTAAATAGCAAGGAATTATTGATTATTTTGTGAAATTTTCAACATGGCCGACTTTTTTTCATAATTTTTGTCAAAAAAACAAACAAAAATATTAATAACTACAGCCATTGTGATATAATATTAAATTAAGTTATTTTTATACTGAGTGTGGCGGGAAAATCGTATTTTTAAACAATTTGTTACATTTTGAGGTTATATTGTGTTTTGTTGGTCTTAAAGGACCGTTATAATATCGACAGAGGAAAATTTGGCACGCTTGACGACACGCATTATGGTTATTTTGAAGATTTACTCGGAAAAGACCGAGTTATTCGAGATCCAGAAGAATGTGAAGCTTATAATGTTGATTGGGTCAAAAACGTAAAAGGTAAATATAAAAACAGCATTTTTTGTGTATAAAAAGTTGCCTAACAACTTAAAATTAAGTTTTTCTTTAGTTTTTAGTTATTTTAACAAAGAATTAAGCCCCAGATTGCATAAAAAACATAAAAAAAACAAAATAATTAAAAATCGCCATTTTAATTTGATTTTTCTTATGAAAAACTGATAAAAACTTAAGAAAAACTTGACTTTTTGATTATATTTACTAATATTTGTCTAGGAATGAGTAAATGTATCCTAAAACCAAAAACAACGCACGAAGTATCCGCAATACTAAAATTCTGCAACACACATAACTTAGCAGTATGCCCACAAGGTGGCAACACTGGCCTAGTCGGCGGATCAGTCCCAGTTTTCGACGAAATTGTCCTCTCTACAACACTAATGAACCAAATTATCTCGGTTGATGATATATCTGGTGCTGTCGTCTGCCAATCTGGTTGCATACTCGAAACATTAGATTCTCACCTAGCTAAGTATGATTTAATGGTTCCACTTGACTTAGGCGCTAAAGCATCTTGTAATATTGGTGGAAATGTCTCGACAAATGCCGGCGGATTGAGATTATTGCGATATGGCAATTTACATGGGAGTGTATTGGGGCTTGAAGCTGTAAGTTTGGTTGCTGTGGTGAAAGGGTGAAAGGTTGAAGTTTGAGGGGTGAATTAAGGGTATTTCCCTTGTAGGTGAAGGCTGATGGGGATGTGGTCGATTGTTTGAGCACGCTGCGGAAGGACAACACTGGATATCACCTCAAGCATATGTTTATCGGGTCGGAGGGGACGTTGGGGGTTGTTACCAAAGTGGCACTTCAATGTCCGACACGTCCGAAGGCTACAAATGTTGCTTTTTTAGGTTAGTTTTATCTTAAAACCATCTTTATTCATTTTATACTAAATTTTTATTTTTTCAACGGAAAAAAGGTACGAATTCATTCCAGAATGTTTTAAAAACTTTCCGGAAGTCAAAACATTCACTCTCAGAAGTGCTCTCTTCGTTTGAATTGATTGATGCGCAATCATTGAATGTGGTTACGAAACATTTTGGCAAACAGTGTCCGATTTCTCAACATCCTTTTTATATTTTGATTGAAACGCATGGGAGTAATGCAACGCATGATGAAGAGAAATTGCATTCGTTTCTTGCTGAGACTATGTCGGATGGTGTTGTGTTGGATGGAACTGTTAGTAGTGATCCGTCAAAGATTGCGGATATTTGGCAGTTGAGAGAGACGATTACAGCTGCTTTGCAACATGATGGTTATGTGTTTAAATATGACTTTTCTATTCCGATTAAGACTTTTTACTCGATTGTGGAGATTATGAGGGAGAGGCTGGGGGAGAGTGCTGTTACTGTTTGTGGGTATGGACATATAGGTAAATATTTTATTGGATTTTGTTTAGTTTTATGTAAAAATGTCTTTGGAGAAGTTTTTTTTGATATTAGTGAAGAATAACGGTCTAAAAATGTGGAAACATTGTTTTTATGGAGTAATTTGTGAATAATTCAATGAATTTTTATGTTTTAATAAAAATTCTTTTAACAATAGATTCTATATTAAATTCTACATATTATTTGATAAAAATTTCATTGATTAAGTTGTTTTTCTTAATTTTATTAACAAATGAAAAGAAATCAAAATAAAATTTGAAATAATTTACAAAATTCTTTATTACTCTGTATATAAAACAATATTTTACCAAATCTCTATATAATTTTATACAGAATTTAATATAGAACCGATCTATGCAAGAATTTTTCATTTATCTCATTTAGTTTTCGAATAATTAACAAAAATGTCTGAAAAAAAGTTGTGATTTAAAAATTTAGACCGTTATCCTTATTTATTCGAAAATAGTACTTAAAAATGTTTGTTTTAGGTGACTCTAACTTGCATCTGAATATAACTTTAAAAGAATATAGTGAAGAAGTCCATGGCAAAATTGAACCTTTTGTTTATCAGTACACATCGCAAATGAGAGGCAGCGTGAGTGCTGAACACGGCATCGGTTTCCGCAAAAGCAAATATTTGCAATATTCTAAGTCGGCCAGTGCCATCGGCTTAATGAAAAGTTTAAAACAAATGATGGATCCTAAAGGCATTTTAAATCCTTATAAAGTTCTACCATAATATTTCTCATTTTTGCCTTTTTTTCTTAATTATTTTGAAAAATATTTGAAAAAACTTATTTCCAAATTGTGAAAAACTTATTTTGCGTGATAAAATTGTAATAAATATATTCAAATCAAAAAATATTGCTTATTTTATATTATTATCAATCATAATCCAATATTTTCCACAAAATTTTGCAAAATATTTTACAAATTCATATTTTTTGAGTTATTTTAAACCCAAACACGGAAAATATTCAATTTTTAGCTTACAACGTCATAATTTCTAGCCTCTTACTAAACAAAATGCGTTTCGGAAAATTACTTGCATAGTTTAGCAAGTTTTCTCTATCATTTTGGCAAATATCATGTTTACATTCTGCGCTGTACACTCAATTAGCGTTCATCTATTCCTGGCGCATCACCGTATCATGCCACTGAAGCGCGTCAAACTCTCATGTTCTCAATCCCATCGTAAAACTATACTTAAAACGAAAAACTTAAAAACTCTAAGATAAAACACGCTTTCCACGCTCGTCGCGCACCAAAATATTACGCCTTTCCGTTTATTGCGCTTGTGTTTTGACTAGTTGCGGCGTGGTGGGCTGTTGTCAAGCCGCTAGCACGCCGAAAGTCGAAATATAGAAATGTAAATTTAAATTTCAACCGCCTGACCCTGAGTCAGGACGGCAAACAGGTTCGTCGTCTTTTCTCGGCGTGCGCACCACACAACACCGGCTTTTAAGATATCAACCCAACCAAACTCAGCGCACACCTAACTTAAATCAACTTTTGTAATATAAAACAACCGCTGTGCACAGATGTGTTTAGTTTAGTTGTGTTAAGTTGGTCAGTGCGCACGTTACTTAAATCTATTATTTTGTAAAGTGACTTAAGTTAAGCAAAAATTACTTAAGTTAAGTAAAATTACTTAAGTAATAAAATGTGTTTTAAGTGATATTAATTTTTATTCAAATTTCATCTTGCATCTTGCACTTCCGGTGTGTGTGAAAATGGAAATTATTTAATTAACCAGTTAAACGGATTGTTTGCGAGCGTTGTAAACCTGGTAATTTGTTGCAAGCGAGTGCAATTCACAGTGAAGGTATGAAAAGTAAAACTCATCAAAGTGGAACTAATTAAGGCGGAACACAATTATGCACACGATTCAATTTCACACCGTACCTACACTCAACTAGATTTAATTAAATTACTTGCAAATTATACTTTCACTTGCTACTCAGTACCTAATATTTCCACAAACTAATCAGTATTTTACTTAAAATGCTAAAAATTTTGTTTTAAACAATTAAAAGTGATTTATTTACATTTTTAACAATATTTACCTCAAAAATATCATAAAAAAATGATTTTTGTTAAAAAATTTTAATTTATTGCAATTTTTGACTAAAAATTACATTTTTTATTGATTGATGTGATTTGGCTTATCATCACTCGTCATATTTACGTTTTGATTATGATTTATTGATAGCTAAATGATTATTTATTGATAAATAATGTTTGTAAATGATTTGTCATTCAATATGCGTGTTATCAATTTGATATCAATTTGAGGTGCATGAATTGTCGGCATGTTCGTTGGTAGAACGTGAATTTCAAGTTTAAACAATGCACACGAACTGCACGCATGTTCTGTCACTGGTCTTAAATGTTTAATGCTGTTGTTTAATGTTTATCTTATCAGCTCGCGGTATTTTCCTAGAGGCTTGTGCTTTTAGAGGCCTACAGTTGTCAGTTGACGGTTGCTGAGTTAACACACGTTTAATTAAACATAAATAATTTAAAAAAATGTACGAAAGAAGAGAAATTTTAAATGTTTTTTATATAAATATTAACTAAAGTGTTTTATAAATAAATTCATGTGTATTTACATTACCCACATGAAAACGTTTGGAATTTTTTGATGAAAAAAAAGTTATTTAAAGATTTTTAGTATTACGCGACGTACACACCTCCAAAAACCTAAAAAAAATCGCACATTTCATAATAAGAAACCGTGACATTCAGCGGTTAACGTTTTTATGGTGTTTCTATTTTTAGAATCTATCTGCGTCAAGCGCAAAAACTCGCTACTTAACATACAAAACTCAACGCAAGTTATCAGTCTGCCCCGACACGTCGTGCTAGTAAAGTAAAGTAAAGTAAAGTAAAGTAAAGTGAAAACCTGTAAATTAAAACTTAAATTTTAAAGTCATAACAATTCAGTATTATATTTTAAAATGTTGCTGAGACAATCAACGAAGAGCGCATGCGCAGCGTGTTATTCAACCAGTGCGAGTGCGAATGTGTTAAATTTAAACTTAAATCACAATGCAAATGCAAGCACAAGTGCGGAAGTGTTGCCTAACTTAGGTTTTTTAAATACAAATGGTGCGCTGCGCACAGATGTGCGCGAGGAATGTCGATGGACGAAAGAGTTGTATTCGCGAAATGTGATAAATGAGGTTAAGTTCGCGGCGAGAAGGAATAAACATGGTGTGGTTGGCAAGACTGAATTCACTAAGGTAAAAACATAACCTTCTTTTGGAAAAAAACTGAAAAAACACTTATTTTTGTATTTTTAAACCTTTTTTTTTATTTTTAACATTTTTAATAAAATTTAATGATTGAAACTTATTTATTGTTGCAGAATAACTTTAAAGTCACCCGTGGTAACTTTCACAGTCTCGATGAACACCACGTCGAACATTTCGCCGGCATCGTCGGCGAAACAAATCTTATTATGGATTTATCTGACTTGGAACAGTATAATGTTGATTGGATGAAGCACTTACGAGGTATAACTACAGTGTTATTTGGGTTGCCTATTTTATATTCACTATTTTGTAAATTTTAACATAGGTAATAGTAAATTGGCGCTTCGACCGAAAACAACCGAAGATATTTCAAAGATTCTTGCCTATTGCAATCACCATAAACTTCCGGTGTGTACCCAGGCAGGTAACACTTCCCTGGTAGGTGGCGCTGTTCCCGTTCTAGACGAAATAATCATCTCCACATCACGTTTAAACCGTATCATCAGTATTGATGAAACTTCGGGTGTATTAGTGTGTGATGCTGGTTGCATTCTTGAAACTCTTGATGATGAACTGCATAAACACGGTCTTATGATGCCTTTGGATTTGGGAGCTAGGGGTAGTTGTCAAATTGGTGGTAATGTAGCAACAAATGCAGGTGGACTTCGTCTCTTCCGATATGGAAATCTACATTCTAATATTTTGGGTCTTGAAGTTGTGAAAGCAGATGGAGAAGTGTTGGATTTGATGAGTAGTTTGAAGAAGGATAATACAGGGTATCATTTGAAGAATATGTTTATTGGGAGTGAAGGTACTCTTGGTGTGATCACAAAAGTTGCAATTCAATGTCCGCCGAAACCCTCGTCAGTGAATTTGATGTTTTTGGGCCTGCAGAGTTTTGAGAAAGTGTTGCAGACTTACAAAAGGGCGAAAACTGATCTGGGGGAGGTTTTATCAAGTGTGGAAGTCATGGATGCTGCGACGATGCAGTTTATTGGTGATAAATTAGGTTCTAAGTCTCCGATTGGGGAATATCCGTTTTATTTGATGATTGAGACAAGTGGAAGTAATCAAGGTCATGATGAAGAGAAGATGACCAACTTCCTGGAGTACAGTTTGGAGAAACATTTGACTTTGAATGGTACCCTGGCAACTGAACCAAGTAAAATCAAGGTAATACATATTTAAAGCATCATTAAAATTTGTTTTTTCATGTTTTTTTCATGTTTTTTGTTTAGGAATTGTGGAAAATCCGTGAAACAATCCCAGAATCCTTCCACAAGGACCTCTATGTTTTCATCTATGATTTCACGATGCCACATCAGATATTTTTCACGCTTGTCGATGAATTTCGTGAGTTTTTGGGTGACAAAGCGCGCTCAGTGTTCGGTTTTGGTCACATGGGCGACGGGAATCTGCACTTGCAAATAGCTATTGATGAGTACTCGGTGCAGCTGCACGAGTATATTGAAGAGAGACTGATGAAGCGCGTGCATGAGTTGAATGGCAGCATCAGTGCCGAGCATGGCATAGGTTTTCTGAAGAGTAAATATCTGCCGAACGTGAAGAGCGCAAACACGTTCAAACAGATGCAGGAACTGAAGAGTCTGCTCGACCCCAACGGAATACTTAATCCATACAAGACTGTTTACATGCAGAAGTAATTGTGTTTTGTATATGTTTTTAAATTGTATTAAATACATATCTATATTATGATTGTGTTATGGTGAGAGGGTAGGCAGGTTATTGACGGCTACCGTTACGCGATTAACGCAAATTTACCTAAAGATAAAGAGAGGGGGAAGAGGATCGTAGAACACTGCGACTGAACTGCTGGACGACTTGAGCCCGAGTGACCTGCGGTCAACCAGGTTGTGGTGCGGAGAAAAACAGGAGTGGGGGTAAGCCTGCTTTTGGGGTTCTAGCCAGCACCGAGCCTTCCCCCACCAATTTTTGCGGGTTAGCGCACAGCAGCTACGGTGCTCAGACGTGTCTGAGTCTTCCAGCAGTTCTGTCGCAGGTCTCTAGGTTCCAATCTATGCTTTCTTATTGTCTCTAATAATACTAATGCTATCCCTACCTCCATGTCTTTCAAATTGATCTAGCCGACTTCACCCTTATTGGTAATTCGTTGGTTAATCATTATCCCAACGAACTTCTTCTAGTTATGAACAACAGTGCCCGTAAATAGTAGAAACACTCAAAATAAAACGTTTTTCTATTCGCAAATCAAGTTTCTACTGAAAATTCAGTTCTAAAACAGCATTTACAAGTGAACTAATGCTGTTGTGCTAGGCAACCCTACTAACACCTTAGTACAGTCGAAAACAAACGCGTTGTTCCAACGTAACCTTTAAAAACTACTAAAAACATCCACAAAACAGCGCATAAAAGTGATAAATAATGGCTGGAGAGGTAATTGTAGATGCTCTGCCCTACATAGATCAAGGATACGATGAACCAGGCGTTCGTGAAGCTGTAAGTTTACACTCAATTCATTAATTTTAATATTTTTCTAATCAAACAAATCATATTTCCAAAGGCATTTGCACTCGTGGAAGAAGAATGTCGTCGTTACAGGCCAACAAAAAACTACCTAGACATCTTACCACCTTTAAACGTAACAGCCTTTGAAACATCAATGATGCACGCTGAATTCGAACGCCTACAAAACCGCCTGCCCATGGAAACAATGTCTATGAAACGCTACGAACTTCCGCCACCACCAGCCGGCAAACTCAACGAAGTCAGCGCGTGGTACGAATGCGTCGAAAACTCACATGCTCAACTAGAACATCAAGCCGTTAGAATATTAAACCTCCAACTCATGTTGGAATATTGTTGTCCAGCATGGCAGAGATATTTAGAGAGTTTGCAAGACTGTGAAAGAATTGCCTCGAAAAAACTAACAGCACTCAAACAATCCCTACAAGAAGTAAACTGGCAGAGAAAATCACTACAAACCAAAGGTGGTGAACAACTAAGAAACCTAGAAGCCAAATGGGTAGCTCTTGTGTCACACAACTATGAAATAGAACAAGCATGTTGCTTAGCAGAAGAATATCTTGCACAATTGAAAGAATATGAAAGAAATCAATTACAAAACGCACCAGAGAATCAACCAGAACCTCCAGAAGAAGCTGCACAAGTAGAAACAGAAGAAATGAGCGTCCCACAGGAAGATACACAAGAAAATGTCGAAAATATGCAGGAAGACACTCAAGAAATCAATGATAAACAAGTAGAAGATGATGAAGGAAGCAATGAGAGTTCAGGAAGTGACCAGGGACATCAACCAGAAGCCGAACAACACGAGTCGAATGAAGAAGCAAACGAAAGTGATTAGAAGTAATTATTTACTGTATGTATTTGTTGTAAAAATGCAGTACTAAACACCGTCTCAGTCGCAGTCGCTGTGTTTGGTAAATCATCAATATCAATTTGATGTGAAAACAAAATGGGACGTTACACAACTGTCGTATCACTCCACACTAACCAAATGCTTATATTATATCATGTGTACATTAAGAAAATATTTACCAAGGGCATAAAAACCTCGTAAATATTTAATTAATCAATGCGCATCTCCCATTTGCACTTTTTGCAATCAAATTGTTCAAACATAGTTACTTTTTGCTGCTTGTGTTAGCTCCAGATGAAGCAATATTCCTCAACATGCGATTGCCAGCGATGAAAGTAAATCCGCCGATGTAGAGGAGCCACGCGCACGTCGTGAACATATTTCCCCATAACCAGAAGTAAGTGTACAGCGCCATGATTCCAGTGAAGCCCAAATGGAACGGAATGGAATAGAAATTGAAGTTGTTCAATGGCGCACCAATTGAACCCCACATGATTAATAAAATTAACAAAGGAGCTGCGCAGAGAGCCGTGAACAACATGGAGACGAATTGCGGTGGGCGTTTGTCTGGTTGCCTAAACATATGCTCAATTTCAGGTTTTGCACCGCGTGTTACAACCGGCGATTCGGAGTTGGTGAGTTTCACATCAACGCTACCAATTTCCCAGCGGATTGGATTACTCATAATGGCATCGCCCAGAATGATTTCCATTTTGTATAATGCGGAGAATGAGAGCTCATTGCCGAGATTAACGACAATTTTATACATTTTACTCGCGTCGCGCTCGCCGATGAAAATAATCTCCTTCTTATCGGTGTACAATCGCAGGAACGCTTGATGTACAGCACGTGGGAGCGCAAACTTCGCGACCAAATTGTGATTTGAGTCGGCCTGCAGCGGTGTGGTCATTTTTTGCGGGTATTGTATCATGGATAACTTTGCAGCTTGACTGCCATCGATTACTTCAACGCCTAATTCAATAGATTCGATTTTTATCGGGCCTACAACCCGAGTCATCAACACAGCAGAATGTTGCCCAGCGGATAATGCGACTTTGTATTGTCCAGGCTCCAATTTCATCGGTAGGATAAATTCGGTTGACACTGTTCCAGGACTCAAGGGTTGTTTGGATAAAACAACAACGTCATCGGTGACACGAGTCGCACTCTGGGCTACTACAGGCGTAGGTTGGGGTTTGAGTGGGTTGCCCATTAAATCAGAAATGCGGATTTTCAATTCGGGCTTATCTAGAGATACTGGCGTGTTGGAAACCAGTGTAATGCATACAGGTGGATTGTTTTTAGATAAACTCTCAGCTGCTTCTAGTAAAGCGACTGCTCCCTTGGCGGTTTGCACACTGCGACGAGTCAAAAGATAATTGGCGAATTTATCGACTTGTTCCTGTGTGAACGGTTTAGTTGTCTGGATGGAGTATAAACCAGTCAAGAGGAGACTTGTCACGCTCAGACCGCCTTCGAATTGTAGCATTTTCGAGTCCACTTCATCGGCTTGAACGACGATGTCTTCAACGCGATCGTTGATGAATTTACCGTGTGTGCCCAGCATTGCTGCGGCGTGTAGAGCGTGGCCCAGACTGACTAATGAGTCGTCTTCTTTGAGTTTGGCTTGGATTGTTGTGGCGATTTTCGCGGGGTTGGGGATTGATTGTTTGAGGTATTGAAGGGTCTCCATTGCGAAGCGGATGTCGGCTGTGCTTGCACCCTTGTCAAGTGCTGCTTTCAATGCCTAAATATTAAGTAATTTTAGTTTTTTTAAAAGTTATGATGATTAATGTATACTTACTGTGATTGTGGCATCAGTCTGTAACTTGCCAGCGCATTTAAGGGTGGCATAAGCATTCAATGCATGAAACTGTGCCTCTGGTGCAGTATCAGCCTTGTAGTAGGTTTTCAAATGGTGGCAGCCATCCAACTCAAACACCCTCACCCATGTGGATTTCATCATGGTGTAGCCTTTGGTAGCATAGTAGAGTGAATCCAAGTCATCTGGCTGCAGTTTTACAAAACCACTTGTAAAGGCAGACATTAACTTCATTTTGTCTTTGCCGGTGGTGTCGATTATGCCGTTCACGCTGGCGTCGACTCGGATAAGCGCCAAAAGGGCGAAAAATATTCCAGCTTAAAGATATTACATAAAATTAATATTGAAACACATGAGACATGTTTGATAACAGTTATAACATGTAAGTTTATGGAGTTTGTAATTTATGGAGGAAATTTGTAGAATTTTGTGGGAAAAAGGTGTAAAACTTACCGAGCAACATGTTTTGTCGCCTCTGGGTGGTGGGTTTATCTTCCAAACGGGGTAGAAATCCGTAGAGGCGGATTTGTTTGAGGTTTTGTTGGGTTTAAAGCCGGCACAATCGCAACCTGACACGTCTTTCGGCCGATGATGGGCTGCAAAACACCGTGGCTAATCTAGGGACTTTGATTACACCAAAAAAACACTAGGTTTTAAAAAAACGTTTAGAGGTATATTTATTACAACAAATATTACGTTATATAACAAGATAAACATGATAACATTTCTTTAATTTACATATAAAATTAAAAATATTATTCGGGAAATTCTAGAAAGAAAACTAGAAATAAAAATTGCTTTAATTTAGGCAACCAAGTATACACCTTATAAATTATACCAGAAAACCAAGAATTTTTAGAAAAACATCAAAATTATAGATTTAATGAACAACAAAACATACTTCCATAAATACTATTCAAATTTTAGGCAAACGAAAATATTAAATAACACAAAATACAAAAGAATCCGTTCTTTATTCGAACAAAAAAATGAAACAAATATTCACAAAAGTAATTTACTGCCAAACAACTTCTCCCCTTAACTTCTATTCATCCTGTTGCCCCAACCTCTCCTATGATCATCCTTATACTCATCTCTAGCCCTTTCACTCGCCAGAAAATCTTCATCATCAGCCTCTTCCAGATTCTCCTTCTCTTCAGCTTCCTTATCCTCATTATTAAGTGAAATACCAGCCAAAGCAGCCTCCTGCATTGACATTGGCCCTGTCTTAGGTTTATTTGGGTCTGGAAAGATACCATCTCTCACTCTTTTATCATAAAACTCCGCAACAGTCATGGTAGGTAAAGATGGATAACCAGCACCATACACAGCCTTCTGTATTTCATCCCTGGTAATAATAATTGGCTTCAAAGGTTTGACTGGAATCTTTGGCTGTTTCCTCATCTCAGGACCCATCTTCTCAATGTGATCCAGAATGGGTTTCTCCATATCAATACTCTGCAACTCATCCACTGCTTCATAAATGTATGTCTTCACCAGAGTAAGAAAATAATCTCTTTTGATTTCATCATCAACATGTTCATTGTTTAAATTCTCTTTCAGAACAACAAGTTTCTCTTGCAGTTCTTTCTTATCCTTGAATCTTTGTATTTTACTGGCTCTTGTGTTGACTGATTTAACAATCATATCCATCTGTGATTGTCCTTGTGCTTGTGATTCATTTGGTTTTGCTGGCTCAAGTTGATTGTCACTGAATTTGTGATCACTTAAACCATAATCATTGCATCTTTGCAAGAAGTCTCTGAAGTATGTGTCTGCAGTTGCAATGATATTCTTTCTCTCCCCACATGTGAGTTGGAGTGTTAAGGAGCCAAGTAGTGCTGGTAACAGGAGATATTGAATGTGTTCAGTTGGAATTTCATTGATTGCTTCATTCCGGCTGAAAATATTCGCCATGGATGCTAGACGAGTGGCGTCCTCGAGGAGTGTCATTGCTTTACGCACGTTTATTTGGACATTTGGGCTGTTGGTCGGCTCGTCAATTTTTCCCAGGTTATTGAAGAGGTTGAGTCCTTCAGTGAAGAGCTGTGCGAGTGTTTTCTCCGGTGGTGGTGCGCTGTCCGGCAATGCCGTTGCCATTGTGCTGTTTTGATGCGTAGTTTATCGAAATGGATTGGTGAATTTGCGGGTAATTGTTAATCGACGCTGATATTTATGCGCTAAGCAGGTGCTGTATCTGCAAAATATTTGCAAGTGTCAAAATTCAAAGAGAAATTTACCAGATTTGACATGTGTCAGCTTAAAAATAAATATTTGTTTGATTTTGATGTAATAAATGCTTAAAACAACGATTAATTTTATAGTGATATAGTAATTTATAAAATATATTCATTTTTACTTCAATTCACCTCAATTAAAAATTGTTAAGACAGTATTCTTGCATTTTACATACATATATGGTTGCCTACTGTCACAAATGGTAATTATTTAAGTGTCAAGATGGCAGGGGCGCTTGCGAGGATTACAAATGCAAGTAAAACGCAATTTGGTACGTTAAAACACACTAAATACAATTAAACAATGCACAAATACATACTATATATTGTATTGCACTTTAACAACAGTTTAGTTTGTTGTTAATTTAAGATTTACGATGAAAAAAATGTTATATAATGATTAGAGGTTATCTCATAGTATGTTGTGATTGCGTTTTCTGCAGGATTGATTGCGCCCATCAACAGTTATGCCAACGTTCTGTTCTACTCGAACCCTCCGCCAGGCACACCACCCCCGCAGACCCGCACCACCTTCGGTAACCTGAAGGATGAGGATCGCGTCTTCACCAATTTGTATGGCAAACATGAATGGAGGTTGAAAGGTGCTCTAAAAAGAGGTGACTGGTATAAAACCAAGGAAATATTGCTTAAGGGTGCTGACTGGATCATAAGTAAGCTAATTTTAAACTTAATTATTATATTTATTTATATTTTAAAGTTTATTGTTCTAATTTAATTAATATTTAAGATGAAGTCAAAACTTCCGGTTTGCGCGGTCGTGGAGGCGCCGGATTTCCGGCTGGAATGAAATGGTCGTTCATGAATAAACCCGCCGATGGTCGCCCGAAGTATTTAGTCGTTAATGCCGATGAGGGCGAGCCTGGAACCTGCAAAGACAGGGAAATCATGCGACATGATCCTCACAAATTAGTTGAGGGTTGTTTGATTGCTGGAAGGGCCATGGGAGCAAAGGCCGCGTATATTTACATCCGCGGTGAATTTTACAATGAAGCTTCCAACATGCAAGTTGCTATTGCTGAGGTAACATACTTTTAAACTTAAAAAAAAAAACATAAAAATTGAATTTCTATCTTTTAGGCGTATCAAGCAGGCTTATTAGGAAAGAACGCTTGTGGATCCGGGTATGATTTCGACGTTTTCATGCACCGTGGCGCTGGTGCGTACATCTGCGGTGAGGAAACTGCTCTCATTGAATCCATCGAAGGCAAGCAGGGAAAACCCCGTCTAAAGCCGCCATTCCCCGCTGATATCGGTGTGTTTGGATGCCCGACAACGGTGACAAACGTCGAAACTGTTGCTGTTTCACCTGCAATCTGCAGACGCGGCGGTGCTTGGTTTGCTTCCTTTGGTCGGACGCGTAACTCCGGCACTAAACTCTACAATATTTCGGGTCATGTGAATACGCCATGCACCGTTGAAGAGGAAATGAGCATTCCTCTAAAGGAACTTATTGAAAGACATGCTGGTGGTGTCACTGGCGGTTGGGATAATTTACTAGCCATTATTCCGGGCGGTTCTTCCACACCTCTTATCCCGAAACACGTTTGTGATGACGTGTTGATGGATTTCGACGGTTTGGTCGCGGCTCAGACTAGTTTGGGTACTGCTGCCATCATTGTGATGAATAAGCAGACGGACGTCGTCAAGGCGATAGCGCGTTTGATTATGTTCTACAAACATGAGTCCTGTGGTCAATGCACACCATGCAGAGAAGGTAAAGTATTAAAATGTTAATAAAAGTCAATTTTCAACCTTTAAAACAACTTGACACCATTTGTGACGTTAGGCAACCAGTTATACACATGTACAAAATATCTTACGTTAAATATTTATTAATATTTCCACAGGTATTAACTGGATGAACAAGATGATCTACCGGTTTGTTGATGGTAATGCAAAGCCAGAGGAAATCGATATGTTGTGGGAGATCAGCAAGCAAATTGAAGGACACACGATTTGTGCGTTGGGTGATGGTGCAGCATGGCCGGTACAAGGCCTGATTAGACATTTTAGACCTGAATTGGAAGCCCGTATGGAGAAGTACCACAAACAGAAGGCTTGCAACTAAATAAACACCTTAGTAAATTTAAATCCGTTACGATTACTCAATCATTTCGATTCAAATCCAAGAAATTCGTTGTTTGTGAAAGAGTTATGTATATAATTAAGCATTATAAGTGAAATCACTACAGGAACTATTAAATTTTAAACGGCGGCGCCCTTACATTGAAGTTTATTCTACATTTTGGTGAATAACAATGGTAGGAATATTATTATCAGTTGGTAACAAGTTTATTTATAATATTCTCAATTATTTTGAACAAAATTTAAACTTCTACTTTAGTTTTCTTACAAACAACTGCAGAATCTGTTTCTTTTTCACTTTTCTGAACAAAATACTCTTGTAACATACTCAAAGCTTTGTGTCTATGTGAAATCTTATTTTTCTCTTCTTTTGGCATCTCTGCATAAGTTTGTTCAAAGCCCTCAGGTTGAAAACATGGATCCCATCCAAAATCTCTTGGTCCCCTTGGTGAAACAATACTTCCTTTGGTTATACCTTTGAATATCTGTACTTCATCTCCTGCTTCTCCACTGTAGAAAGCAAATGTGCACACTGCTTCAGCTGTTTTATCCTCAAAACCTGCCAGCATTGTGTGCAATCCTTCTGGACCCAATTTGTCAAGGAACCATTTTATGTAAGGACCTGGCAGGCCTTTCATTGCATTGAAACATAGGCATGTGTCTTCAATTATGACTGGTCCTTGGATTATTTTGGCTGCTTGGAGACATTTGCTTCTTGAAATTTCATCAACTTCTCCTTGCAGTTCAGGAAGATCTACTTTCTTATTAGTCAGTGGGTAGGGAAATTTGTTACCTAGGATTTGTATGACTTCTTCAAGTTTCTTTGCGTTGCCTGTTACGAATGTTATTGGACGTGCCATTATTATTTAACAAGAGCTTTTGTGTGAAGCTTTTTGGTGTTTGGTTAAATACCGCGCGGTATAAAATAACTAGGTTAGATTCATGGTAGCATACTGCTGCTTTTTTATAATTTTTATCAATTTTGCTTCATTTAAACCGCGAAGAAAATGGTTTTCTACTTTGAAAGCACTGTGGTTTCACCACCTGTGACTTTATTCATGGGTTTAGACAAATACGAAAGTAATCATTAAGATATTAATCACACCAATCTTACAGTTATAAATATCATACATTTTAGATGAAGATTTAATCAAATGGGGCTTCCCAGAAGATGTGTGGTTCCATGTGGACAAGCTCTCTTCAGCACACGTTTATTTAAGACTACAACCAGTAAATAAAATAATTTTATTAATTAAATTTTACATAAATTTCTAACTATTTACATTTAAAGGGACAAATGATTGATGACATTCCCACAGCTGTTCTGGAAGATGCTGCCCAACTTGTGAAAGCAAATAGTATTACAGGCAACAAAATGAATGACTTGGAAGTGGTCTACACAATGTGGGCCAATCTAAAGAAAACCCCAGGCATGGAAGTTGGGCAAGTTGGATTTCACAAGGAGAGGGATGTGAAAAAGATGAAAGTTGCCAAGAGGATAAATGAAATTGTAAACAGGCTGAATAAGACTAAAAGAGAAGAACATCCTGATTTCCAAGCTGAACGAGAAAAACGTGATCGTATGGAGCGTGAGGATAAGAAGAAAATCCTTAAAGCGAAAATGGAGAAAGAAAAGGAAGAGATTAAGAAGAAACAAGAGGAGGCTGAGCTGAGGAGTTACAGCACCTTGATGAATTCGAAAAATATGGAAAAATATGATGATGGTAATGATTCGGATGATTTTATGTGAATATTAATGCATTTAAATGATAATAAAGTATAAGTATGTTTTTGAAATAACAATTTCTATTTTTAATTCTGCTCCAAGACAGTTGCCTACAGTTTAAATCCAAAAAAAGATGTATATTGGGTTGCATATCATGAAAACACACTTTAGTACAAAATATTTTTTGTCAATAATCACTAAATTGCATTATAACTCAACAAAAACACGACAAAATCAATGTTGCAACGATTTAAATTGCTTATATTTAACAATGTCTGAAATACGCACTGGCACCCTCAATAATTTCTTTGGAATAAACTTGTACCGCGCGTTTAAAACATAGTTACGCTTGCGCTGCATGAGAGCAGCGCTTCCTCGTCTTTCGTATTTCATTCGCCGCTCGTTCGTCATTCGTGGTTAGTCCGTGGTCTCGCGCGCACGTAGTACGTGCAACAGCGTTTGTTGCTCACTCGTCGTCCGATCGACATCGCGGGAGTCGCGTTCCGGAGCCGGGCCCGTGTGTGCATTTGTTAATTTACCGCGATCATCTGTACGAATAAAAACATTACGTAAGTACAACAAAATTTACATACATTGTCGCGTCCTCGTGCAAACCGAAAAATCTTCAGTGAAAACGCGAGTAAACAACGCGACTTTGCGCGTTGCGTTGAGTTATCAATATCGATATCAGTGTTGACGATTTTTACCCACAAAAAGTGATCCAAGAGTTAAGCAGTGAATTTGCGTGTTTGGATTAAACTGGTTTCGTAAATATCTCCACGCTGTGCAGAAAAGGTGAGTAATTTATTAGAATAAGTTTTGTTTTGCAAACAAAAGTCGAAAAGTGATGAAAATCCTACAGTTGCATTTGATTTGCGAGATTTGCGGCACTTAGCGCTAACCACCCGTCAATAAATCTCAATTTTATTACGACTTGGGGTCGTTACGTCGTCGCACCGCATGAAATATCGCGGAATTAGCAAAGGCGCTGAATTAACGATGAACGACCGCCGAGGTGTGCGAGAGGTGAACATTAACAACTACACAGCGTCTACAACTCCCCGGTGGCTGGTCTTCGCACGTCGAATGCGAAACTGTTCGAGTTTACGTTTACGTGTGATTCTTGTTCGAGAGGAAGACACATGCATTGTATGCAATATGCACGGGCTTTGTACGCGGTACTGCGCCAACTACACACACACACTTAGAGACGGTTGTAGACAGCGTGTGAGTGTCGAGCGATGACTCGTTTTGTTTTATTTACGAGTGGATTAGCTATTTTTATGTGTGGACACAAATTGTGGTGTTTTGGGTGGATGTGTGGACGAGAGGTACAGCTGCTATCGATAAATATTCAAATTATTGTCTGGTAATTTACATAGGGTATTTCAATTGGGAAAATACCGGTATTTGGGGGGAATTTATTCGGTTTATCATTTAAAATAACGGTTTTTGTTTAATTTTGTTTGGAATTGATCATAGGATAGTTGAATTTGAAAAATATTAAAATTTTTGTATTTTAAACATAAAAATACCGGTATTTTGCACAAAATTCTTCGGTTTTTGCTTTTAAAATACCGGTTTTTATTAATTTTGATCTAAAATTACTTCCACACTGTTTTTTAACAGACATTAAAACAATTTTCTGGTAAATTTATGTCTTACATTAAAATCTAAAAAAATACCGGTATTACAAAACATTTTTTTTAATTTTTGACTTTGAAAATATCGGTTTTTCTGTTAACTTTTTAAATTTTAACGGTAATGTCTTCGTTCCACAGCTGTTTTCGATAAACAGTGAAACTAAACAATGAACATAAACACTATACACTTCAAAGTCAACAAAAAAGGCGTTTAAAGTGTTAAATTAAAACGAGCGACTGTGGTGTACACAAAAAGTTGGTTTAAATTTACATTCACTGCAATGCTGTTAGTTTATACTTTTAAATGCGGTTTAACGCGCTCGAAAACGAGATTTAGCGGCCAAAGAGAGTATTTCAAGTGGTCTGAATGAGTGAATTATTTAAGAGGTTTTTATTTTTATTGAAAACTACAAAAACTCGTTAAAATCACTTTCAAAACGTAAAAACACATGAAAGTTTTATAAAATAAAACACAATTTTTTTCAGTATGAGTCAAATATTTTTATTTAAATTTAAATTTTTATGTTTTAAGCAATATAAAACATAAAAACAAGAATAAATTTGTTTAGTTGGGAATTGAGACTTGTTTTCGTTGGTTAGTTTTGTTTATTCCCTGGGAAAACACGCCATTTCGCTATTTAGCACGTTTTCAGCTGTTTTGAAACGTTTTGGGCGATTTGCCACACGTTTCATTACTTCTTCGCCACTTTTTACGCATTACTCTTACTCGTACTTAGTGCGGACTTGTTCTGATTGTAGTTTATTGTTGTTTATGTCCGCTGCTTTTTCGTTTACGGTGTGTACACTCTATTCTCTTGAGATCAAGAACATATTACAAATATTTACGTACGTGTGCACTGCTTTTGCAAGCACAGAATAACTACGGGAGTGTTGGCTGTGGTCTAATGGGCGGTTATTATTGGAATTCTAAAATAAAACCGCAATACTAAATATTTACTATGGTTTAGGACACATAGTAAAAAAATACCGGTTGTTTTGTCGAGTATTGTTGGAATTTTAATTTAAAAACTTGATATTAATTTTTTTTCTATGTTTTGGAGCACATTTTTGAAAATACCGGTTTTTATACCGGTATTAATACCGGTTATATGTTAGGTTATTATTGAAATATTGATTTAAAATCTTGCTATTAAATATTTAAAATCTTTTAGAACATGTATTAAAAAATACCGGTATTTTTGTAGTAGAAAACCGGTATTAATACCGGTATTTATTTTTTTATTTGGTTTATTATAATTTTATTTTTACTTTAAAACTTCACAACTAAATATTTACTATGCTTTGGAGCGCATATTAAAAAATACCTGTATGAATACCGGTTTTCTCTTCGAAAAATCGGTTTTAATCTCTCTAAATTAAATTTTTTGATTTACAATAGTACTACCCATCCAAATAAGTAGGAAGAAAGTAGTTGGATTATAATCAACATGCGTATAAGTGTAAATGAAGACCCCGAACTCCCAAACCTCGAAAACTATGCGCATCTCATTCCGACTTCTCTGACTTTACGCGTTGCTTGTAGTCTTGCCTTGTTTGTTGCTGGATTCATCCGATTCAGAACGAGACTCCCATGCACTTCGAATGAGGCCCGAACGTGTTTCCTTATTGGGATGCCCTCTGAGTTGATGACCTCCATCATCATCATCATGATGATCGCAGGTCTTGTAAGAAAAATCTCTCGAACCTCATTGCTCATCAGATTCTCACTGCTCAGACAAACAGATTCAATGTTTATTCTATGTTTACACAATATAAATCAAACAGATTTTTATTTACTGCACGAATATTTATCTAGGTTGTTATTTAATATCCTGTAGATGTAGATGGAAACAAATTGAGCAAATTATTACGCTCGATTGAAGCGAATTTAGAACGATCAATTGTTATTATTATTATTAGCGCAAAACGCGATGATCTCATCCTTTCGACGCTCAAATCAGATGTGTTATTGCGGGCGAACGCACACAAGTCGTAAAACATTGTTTGACTTTGCATAAATATTAACGTCGGTTTTATCTGTTTGCAGATATGAATCAAGTAAATTTGCTATTTTTATTCGGCTATTCGGGTGGTTAATATTGGAATTTGAAGTAAATAGAAAATACCGGTATTAATACCGGTATTAGCCTGTCCTTTGGTTAGTTGTTATTGAAATTTTAATTTAAAACTGCATTATTACATATTTGCTATGTTTTGGAGCACATTTTAGAAAATACCGGTATTAAAATATAAATAACCGAATAATACCGGTATTAATACCGGTTTTAAAAATTTAAAAATTGCTTTTTATTTTGTTACTAAATATTTGGGAACTTTTAGAAGACATATTAGAAAATACCGGTATTAATACCGGTTTTCTACCTTTAAATTTCCTGTTTTTTTCTTATTTTGCGATTTTTTGATTTTTAATCTTTCTGATTGTGAATGGAATGTAGTTAATTGACTCACGTGCTAATTTTGCGCGCAATATTCATGCATTCAGGAGTCGGCTAGACTCACTCACTAAATTGACTAACTACATGCTTGTTTGTTGAATAATCACGACCGAAAACGCTGCAGCCAATGATGCGACTGTCGGAGAGTTACGTACGTTGTGTGAAACGTTGTAATCAAGTGTGCAAATATTTATAAATATGCACAGTGGCTCAGAAAGGTCAAATCTGAATGTTAAAAAATACCGCGTGCTAAAAAAGTGTTTATAATTGTCTATAAACACGTCGTTATTCATTTAGTTATATTATACTCAATTATTTACGCTTTTATTAATGGTACAAATGATTTTTTTATGTTTTGTTTTGGTTTTGGTGCTTTTTTCGCATTTTCTGCTCATTGCAGGCTCGTTTAAGTTCACTTCCGTTGTGGTTTCGTGACAATAACCACTAGAGATAGAAACGGGCGATAATTCAGCGCAGCACGACTTTTATTTGAACACTACTTATTACTTACACTACGTTGTTTGCGTATTACATGAAATTATGCTTTGTTGATGATCTTTAGAAGTTTTTGTGGGTAATTTATCATATTTGTAAACGTCTACGACCTCTGCTTGATTTTCACGATTAATTAACTTCATTATTTCGGAATAACTCGTAAACCAGTAGTGATAAAATTGTAATATTTTAGAGGCTGATTGTTAATTAAATTCTACATCTAATTGTAAAGAGATTTTGTTGATTGGATTATTACTTTAAAAGTTATTAACAATTAAAGTTGAATGTTGTGAAAAATACAATCGTATAGATAAGAAGGAACGAAATCGGATAAAAAGAGGTGTTTTGTTGATGTTTTTGTGTCGAAAAGTGGCGTGATGTATTGTTTACAGTATTGTTTAGTTATTAAATTCATAGATGGCCCAATATGTACCATCTAGCAATAAATAAAACAAATAAATGTAATATTTTGCAATTTTTAAATTTTTTAAATTAAAATTTTAATTTTTGTTATCACAAAATACTTTTATCATAAATATTTTTATATAAATAGATGCAGAATTTAATATTCTACAAATATATGATGAAATAATTAATTTATCTTAATTAGTTTTTGAGTAATTAATAAAAAACTAAATGATTGCGATCAAATTATAAAAAAATTATTGTTTTTTTAAATTTCAATTTTTGACATAAAAAATTACCTTTATTAGAAATATTTTATCATAAATAGATGAAGAATTCAATTCTGCATAAATACCCGAAGAGATTATTAATTTATCTCTATTAGTTTTCAAGAAATTAATTAAAAACTAAAATTTTCCCGTTATGCAACTTATGCCACACGCTAAACTGTAGATATTGTAACTTTGCACTAAATATTTACTCCCAAGTGCACTTTAGCATGCAAATCCTTCACATGCTGTCATACTGTTATTTGTTAGATGCACACACCTTCTAAACATTTGCAATTTCGATACCGCTTTACGTTTTGAGGTTTAACTCGTGTGTTTTGGGATTGTGGTGTTGCACAAGTTGGTTTCTCATGAGTACTCGTATGTGCTGCTGCTGCTGCTGCTGCTGCTCGACATATTAAACGTAGCACACACGCAAAACACATTTCACGCTACAAGTTCGGCATCGCAGGCGAAGTCAAAGTCGAACTATTAGAAATGAACAAGCGAACGAGGCCCTTGCGTGC